AAATACAACAAGAGGAGACGTTGCCCAGTCTGTGGAGTGGATGTTCCGGCCACACCACGCTCACCAGCTCGCGCACACGCTCCTGCCCAGCAGAGACGTGGACTGCATGTCCCACGGGGAGCGTCTTCATCCACCTTCAGCTGTGTGCCCTGAGACAGTTGTTTTACGCACAGCGTCTCCAGACAGCTCTGCAGGACGCACGCACAACTACTGTGTCGAAACTCCTTCATACATTACCGCGGTGCATAACATTTCAGACATGATAAATAAACTTACAGGGGAAAAAAAATACGAGTGAAATGTTTGATGTGTATTGCATCACGTATCAACAGCGGTACTAATTTGTCAAAATAACAGCGATCAAAATGTCAGAAAGACAATTTATTATTTAAAATAAATGGATGGATGGATTGTCTTTAACTGGACAACTGAGGATTGAAGCACCTGAAGGCAGTGGTAACTGAGACTGGAGCAGAACAACGCGCAGGACTGAATTCAGCTGAGTTCGGGCTGAGTTCGGGTCGGACGGACAGTGTGTGTGTGTGGGAGGTTGACAGAATAGGACCTGCAGTGCATTCACACACAGGCTTGTTAATTGTTGTTGCTCTCTAAAATAGTAATTTCAATTCAACCTTTATTTATACAGGTTGTTAGTCTCATTGAGCCTCGTCATTTACAAGAGAGACCTGATTTAATCAAATGTTTACAGATGTTTAACAACCTGTTAAAATACACCAGAATGCAGGAAGTGGCATCTCTTTTATTCCAAATTTTCTGGGGGTGGACCTGCCCCCCCCTGATTCAACCCCCCCCCCCCCCCCACCCCCGGACCGCCTGCTGTTTGTGTTCCAGCATCTATTGGTTTACAAATTAAGCCCTGGTTTCATGAGAGGTAGAGTGACATTAATAAATCAGCAGCTTATCATATCGCTAAAGACACGGTCCCGGTCTCAGCTGTGGAACAAGATGGCTAACTTTAGCCATCTTGTTAGCTGTTAAGGACCGTGTCGTTAGTGATATGATAAGCCACTGCTTTATTAATTAAGGCCCGGGTACAGACCTGCGTTCAGAATGTCCTCCTATTGAAGAAGGTCCAGGTACAGGCACAAGTGATGCTCACCAGTGAACGTTGTGATTCAGAGAAGGTTTTGGTTAAAGTGCTGTGGTTTTAGAGATGTTGGTCAAGAAGAAACACTTGGAGTACGTGTTATAAATGACTCGACTACAACCACATCAAGTCTCTGGCTGATATCTGTCAAATTCATATCTGTATAATTATAGCCCATTTTGTGTTCTGGGTCCCCCCACCCCCACACAGTGACTGCTAAAGACCAGCTCCCCATGACCCTGAACAGGCGCAAATTAAGATGGACATATTGGTCTCAGCTACAACCACACCAACGTTCAGCTCAGTTTCTGTCAAACTGATAGCTTTTCAGTCTTTTTTGTGTTTTTTAATGTCAGTTGGCTGTGTCGGCCATCATGAAATAGGCTAACCCCAAAGTTTATCATTTGTACATGTACATTTATTGATTACTTTCTGAGATATCCAGTCATATCTGTCTTGCAGTTCATGTGATATTTTGCTAACAGACAAACAAATGAACTCCCACACAGAGATAGATGCAGTGTTTGTTTTTCATTTGGTGGGTGATGAACTGTGCACAAACTTGGACCACAAGGACTGTTGATTTTTTTCATTCAACCTTTATTTAGACAGGTAAATCCCATTGAAGACTCATTTACAAGAGAGACCTGATTTCAACAAAGAAAGATGACAACAATGGACAACAGCGACAACAATAGACAGCCACAAAAAGGCATAATTTTTTTTGATTTTTTTTACAAAGAGATGGCAAAAAAAGTAACAAAAAACAGCTAGATTATAAGGCGAATGTAGAAAAGTAAAAGCAGGAACATGTCTGCATTGGTCGATGTGTGCTTTGAAGCTGAGGTTCAGCGTTGTGTTCTGTGTCTCCAGCTCCCTGCCGTCCCACAGGAACGTCTCGTACGAGGACTTGTTGGGGGCCCTGCAGCAGTATGGTGTCTGTCAGCAGCGCCTTGGACAGTGATGTGCAGCTCAACAGCTTTAAACCATCCCAGGAGACTCCTCCTTCATGATGACCAACTCTGTCTCCTCCACTAGAACTGAGAGACCAGCCCATTTCATACCAACCAGCTCTTAGAATAAAATCCAGTTTCAAGACTTTTGAACTCTGTACCAGTAATTGTTCCACAAAGTGACACGTTGACAGGAGTGGACTCGTCACTAACCTTCAGTCTCCTGGTTGTCATCCATCACCAGCCCTCCACAGAACCTGGAGGAACAAGAACTTTCAGTACATCAGAGCCACATTGGGAGCTCAGACTGATGACTAATGTGTAAATATGATGTCACTTTTATTGTTGAGACCGTCTGAGGCTTCCACCTCTGTTTGACTCATCAAAGTGTGAAACAAAGGAAAACGTTGATTATCCACTTAAATAACCAAAAAAATGTTACCAGGTCATAACAACGTTAAGTTGAAGAGGTAACAGCTGGGCTGGTGTTTCTCTACAAATATGCCCTAGACTCCAGCTTTCACTAATGTTCTTAAAGTTGTCTAAAAGAAACGTGACAGTACAAATGATCAGAATCAGAACTGTGTTTTGCTTGTTTTTGGGGTTTTTTTGCAGATAATGTCTTCTTGTTGCATTCATGAAAAGTATCTGAAGGTGAAACGAGCAGATGTCTCTTTCAGTCTCATCATAACGATTGAAAAAATATTTAACACTGGAAACAAAAGCTGGTCATGTTGGTGACTATAGGAATTTTTTTCTGTATTTTCAGTATATGTCAACATGATTACCAGTATCTTGATTTTTCCTAAATAAAGCCCAGAGGATAACCGTTAAAGTCCGTGATCCTGGTTCTGAATGTTCTACATGCAACACAGAAAGTTGTAATGAAGCAGTTCCTCTGAAGCCAAAACTTTTCAGATCTACATTAGGATTACTTTGGTTCTCAGTATACACGTTTACTCAATGTGCTCATTCTCCTCTCCTTGGTTTCATCACTTTAGACTAACAACTTGTAAACCAACAACAAGCAGCTCATGGGCCAAATGCAGCCCTTTGTAAACTGTGTTTGGCCCCCACAAAGCTCATCTTTTGAAGATAACTTGGTCGCACAAGCACACCGTTTCTTACCCCTCCAGATTCACAAAGGTAATGCTGCGTTCAAGGCTGCTGATAAGCTGGGACATCTGAGTTTTACCAGATTTACTGAGTTATCAGATAAAGACATTTCTAACCTAACTAAAATACATTTCCAGGTCTTTTTTGCAGAAGAAGAATAATCTAACCATTTCGGGCAGTTTAATTCAAATGTACAGTTTGCACACAAAAAAAATACCAGAGATGATACTTTTCCTATAGTTTTTTTCACAAGGAGATAATGTTAATTTTGTGGACTGTACAGGTGAAACGCTAATCAAAAATGGGTAGTTTATTCTCATGGAAAAACTACAGGGAAAATAAAAATTTCCAGTAATCTGTAGTATGTCATATGCTGGATATATTCATACTTTTTCACGAGTTCCTCATCTTTCTGACTGTGTAAATGTCGTGCATTGAATTTAACAGAAATGTAACGAGAGACGTTATTTATCTTTGACCCATCAAATGAATGCGGTCATTTATTTTCAGAATCAAAGTTTAACATCAAACATTTACATTAATTTGACAAAATATGAAAATAATAACAGACAAGTTTCACAGATAATGGACTTCAATCACACGGCGGTGATTGAGGACTTTGCTTCAGATATTTCTAAGATATCTGTCAAATGAATTTAGGAGAAAGAGAGTTTAAGATGGAAATGGAGATTTATCTTGCAGAGAGATGTGTGAGGGAATTAATCTGTTTGACCAGAAACGTGCACGCTCCTTCAGATCTCAGCTTGCGACGGTACGCTTGGTCGGAGTAGAACCGTTACCTGGTTGATGATAAAATCAGCGTCGGCGTAGGGTTCCTTTCTGACTCTTTCAGCGTCTCCGTGAGGACTGCCAAACCCTTAGAGAGTCGTACGAGGTTATCCAAACAGAAGTTATAATCCCAAAACGTCTCTGGATCATCCTGAATGCGTTTGCATCCAAGAACTCTGAACTCCTTTCATCTCCTTAGCACTCTCTATCAGACTTCCGACATCAGACTCTTCAGCACTCTGGGTGGAACTCTCAGTGCTCTGTAGCATCAGACTCTTTCAGCGTCTTTAACTCCATCACTCTTCAGCACTCTCTAACAGAACCGGGAAGTTGCCACATTTTAAATGAGTTGACTTCCGGGTCAATTTAGAGCTTTCTGATTCGTGGATGGACCAGAATAGAGGTGTGGTTTGTGATGTAAGATGTTATCAAATTCGAGGTCAGAGAATGAGATTGTTTACAACATACAGAAAAGATTATTGGAGGAAACCAGACTTCGTGGAGTCTCACTCTTATTATCTTCTGAAAAAGTTTAAACATGACATTTCTTCTCAGTAAACATTTTAGTTGACCGAGACTCGACCTTTAACATACTTACAAACTTGCTCATTGCAGACAGAAAAATCAAGAAATGCATATTAACCTGATTTCTTCTTTGAATGAGGAATAAAAATCATTACTTACTGTTTATGTAAAATAAAAATGAGTAGTTCTCTTCAACCTGTAAACATTGAGTGAACTAACACAATTTGATTATCAAACATTTGTAAAATAGTAATGATCATAGAGAATTGTCTTTTCTACTTGATTAATTCAAGAAAGAAAGTCACCAGATGGCTCAAACTGTATTTCTGGATGCAGATCAATGAAATAACAGTCTCTGTTCATCTGATCAGATTTGAGGTCAGATCAGGTTCACTACAAATCTATAATGCCTGATAAATTTTCCACATGAAGAATAACTGACATCCAACAATTTTCAGTCAGGTCATCTGGACCGTTTCTTTTTTTGCTGAAATGTTCTGACATTGTTTGGGTTGTTTATTTTAACAGCACAATTCACAAAATTTAATATTTTGGAACCAAAAAAATCAGTGTAAATGCATGTGTTTAGAGGTTATGACCCATTTTGTAAAGTTAAACTTTTTTTTTCAAATAACAGTGAATCTGGTAATGCTCAGGTGTCCTATCTTTTCGTTAGCATTGAACGCAGCATTCCCTTTGTGAATGGAGCTGTAATTATCAAAAGTCACATTAACAGGCAGCTGATCCGTGCACACATGTTGACTCATTGGTGCACAGAAGGTAATTTGTGCACATGTATTTAACAATTGGTATGCACAGAATATTTCTACGTCTGCTAATTGAAATGTGTTATTTAAAAAACGGTGCATTTGGGAATCTTGTACGCTTGTGGGGCTACTTTTGAGACTAATTTATCTTCATAGAAATAACCGTCAGCTACTACCACATCAAGTTTCTCAACTTGCCAAAACACACCTGTGTCACAGAGCAGCGCCTCCAGAGCCTTTAATGAATGTTGGAAAAAGACCGTCACTACAAGAATGAATACGCAGCATTTCTAAACAACATAACGGACCAAGGATGAGCTGAGACAGTGCCTGCAGACGATTTCAACGAGGTGATGGAAAGGTGTACATCCCACAGAACAGGCACGTTAAGAGTCGTATTTGACTGACAAGAACCTGTCACAATAATGGCTGACGTCGATGATGTGTTTCACCAAATTCATGTCTCAGAAAAGCATCAACTTTCATTGTTTCCTGTGGTGCCATTGGAGTACAGAGTGAAGGTGCATTTGTGGAGCTGCCTCATCACCAAGCTGTGCAAAGTATACTTTGAAGGAAACTGCAGATGATAACACTCACCAACTTTCCCCTCAAGTCACTGATAGTCAAAAACATTAGTGGATGGCTGTTCAAAATCTCTTGCCTCAGAGAAAGATGCAGTCTGATTCACATGCATCAGTATCAGTTCTACAGTAATCGTCAAATCCTGTAGAAAGAGCAAGAGAAACAAAAGAGTTGGGTTTATTTTCTCTAAGACAAAGTAAATGTCTGTTTCGATTGGTGTTTTCTGATAGCAAGTTGCACTGGATGAAGATTAAAATGTTTGATAAGCTGCTTTGTTCTACATTTTCAGCTTACCTTGAAGATTAGAATAGAATCCAACATTTTTCAGTCAGGTCATCCGGACAGTTTCTTTTTTTTTTTTGTGCTGAAACGTTTCACCTTCGATCCGGAAGGCTTCATCAGTCAAGGAAACACAACAAAACTGATTCTTCCCCCAACAGCTTACTCCAAAGTGGAACGAACCAGTTCTGCTTGTGATAAGATGGTCTCTTTGGTACGCCCCTCCTCCATTACCGGCCCTCTTCCTTGTTGTTGACAGTCTTGCCAAACTGGTTGAAAACAACAAAGTCCATGCTCAATAATCCTTGTATAAAATCCAACATTTTTCAGTCAGGTCATCTGGACAGTTTCTTTGTAAAGTTTCTTCAAGACAGTTTCTTACCATCTTATCACAAGCAGAACTGGTTTGTTCCACTTTGGAGTAAGCTGTTGGGGGAAGAATCAGTTTTGTTGTGTGTTTCCTTGATTGATGAAGCCTTCCGGATCGAAGGCGAAACGTTTCAGCCCAAAAAAAAAGAAACTGTCCAGATGACCTGACTGAAAAATGTTGGATTTTATACCTGGATTATTGAGCATTGACTTTGACTTTATTAGAATAGAATAGTCGTTATTGTCATTGCCGAGCCTGAGTAATGCAATTAGAGGTGCCTCAACTGACAGTGTGTTCGTTTAATAAAAGACAACATACACAATGATTCAGGGCAGACGTTAAAGACATATTCTCAAGAATATCAGTTCCGAAAACACACAGACATGCTGGTCAGAAGAATACAGGTGAGGTTGTGGAAGCAGACTGAATATAGTGCACATCCTGTGAGTGACCAAAGGTAGAGGAAAATTGCACTTAGGGAGTTTAACGGGTATTTAGAGTTTGGATGGACCACGGGAAGAAGCTGTTTTTGAGTCTGTTTGTGTGGCTCTGCTCCTATACAGGGCAGCAGGCTGAGTAGGTGGTGATCTGGCTGGAGGTGGTCTAGGAGGATCCTCTTTCCCCTGTAGTATGAACAGATGCTGAGATATATTCATACATTAAACGGGTTCTTCATTTTTCTGAACTGTCTAACATGCGTGCATTGAATTTAACAGAAATGTAACGAGAGACGTTATTTATCTTTGACCCATCAAAATGAATG